ATGGTGGGACATAACCCCGGACGGTTCCATTAATAAGAGCTTAACAAAACAACCCAAAAATAGCAAAGCCTCGAACAAAATAAGCCGAAGCTAAGCAAGGCGAAACACAAACATCCAGACCATAAACAGGAGAGGAAAAAAAGTAAACTCGCACAGAAATGCTCTCTGCTCCCCACTGTCATGCTTTTCGATGATGTCAACTCACGCATGTTGTTTTCTTGTAAATTAATTAATGAACATAGGGAATTAAGATATATAGTATCACAAGTTTTCCATGAAGAAAAATGTTATCAGAGTATTATAGGAGGAGGCAAATATACCGAACAGGAAAGTATCCAAGCTACTGTTGGGCATGAACTCATATATTAACATCCTCTCCTCTCCTTGAATGCAGCCACCAAGAAGGCGAACAAGATTTCTATGCTGAAGTTTTGCAATAAGCACAATCTCATTCTTGAACTCATCGACACCTTGTTGTGAAGCCCTAGAAAGTCTTTTTACAGCAATCTCTTCATCCTCTCCAAGCTTACCCTGTCAATTATGCAACATTCATCATGAGCGAGTTTCTATTTCTACAAACCTCATTCCCTCATTGCGACCAACTTTCATGTGCAGCTGGACAAGAGAAGTCATTATTAAAGACAGATTTGATCATCCATTTTTTCCAGAAGTAGTGAACGTCGTACATATTTAAGCAGCAAATCTAGTTATTATATGCCATCACTGACCAAGAAATATAGTGTCCCTTCCTGAAAAATAACCACAAGTGTGTTTAGCCCATCAAAATGCACCCACTGTGCTTCTTGATGTGTCATTGCCCCGAATTTATTATGTAGTTTGGCCTTGCTCTGTGTTTCTTAACCTGCAAACTAAAAGTTTGTGACAATTTTTATTGTACATTATTTACCGCCACAGGTTACAGCCCTTTTAAAACGTTAGCTCTGTATGATGATCAAAGTTTTCGATTGCTACTTCATTTTACCGAATAACTTTGAGGAAGAAAACCACCTTGTAAACAGGACCGAATCCACCCTCTCCAAGTTTGTTTCCTTGCGAAAAATTGTCAGTTGCGACTGCTATTGTATCAAAATCAAATAAAGGCAGATCTATGTCATTTTCCATGTCTCCATTGTTTGATTGGTTTTTGAAGAAGAAGCGCCGGACACCTGATCAAGAGGACGAGGGGGTAAAAAAAAAAAGAATATAAAAAACCACGATAGAAAACTAAGGAAAAGAATGGACATGTACAATGGTTAATATTTTGTAAGGAAAAGAATGGACATGTATAGTTTCATATTGGAACTACCTAGCAATGGATTCTATCCTCTTGAAACTAGTGATTCAAGAAAAAAGAAAAAAAAAAAGGGATTCTCCAAGCAGCTTCCTGCCCAGTTTCCACAATCATGAATGGTTGTTTCGTACTCATATCATGTATAAAAGACAGCAAATTTGACTTGAAATTTCCAAGTTATTCTAGCTGCACATGTTTTTGACCTTGACCATTCGTTTATACTCGTGTGGATTTAAAATACTAAAGTAGCTTCCTATACTAATAAAGTGTCGATCTCAACATTGATGTTCCCACTGCACCAAAACCCTAAACGTGTGGTGAGGACTTAGAGTTATAATTTTAACCTAACACGCCCTCACAAATTGAGGCGCCTCTTCTTATACGCTGAAATCTGCTTTAAATGTGTTGCGGGTGGGAATGGAACCTGGGCTGCTCTCGTACCATGTCAAATGATCTTGTGCAACTGAGCCAGAACTTCAAAGTGTATAATGCACTTAAAGATAGCTAGATACTTAAATGAAAGTAGGTAAATTAAATACTTAAACCAAAACTAAATGTCCATAGAATAAAAACAAATCATCTAGTCTTCCACATCATCCTCATGATGAACATTAGCAGCAAACTCCTTTTCAAAGGGAGCAACAGAGGAGAGGATCGAAAGGTATTATTATTATTATTTATTTATTCGATAATTTAGGGTAAAAACCACGGGCAATGATAGAAGAATCTACTATGAGGAAAAACTTTAGAGTTATAATCTCTCTTTACAAGGAGAAACTCTCTCTATTTTTCTCTCTCACTCTTCTACATGTGGAGTTGTTTCTGGGATGAATTTTTCCTGAAGAGTTTTCGGTCTATTTGTAGCGGTTGGAAAAATATTATTCCTAATTTTATAATATTTTTTTACCGTGTCAATCTTTTGGTGCTCACTTTTGGTTCATTTATTTTTGTGGCCCGCCACCTTTTTGTTTGTCCACAATTGCTGCTGTCAGCAATTGCGGCCGACAAGGAGAGGATCGGAAGGTATTATTATTATTATTATTATTTATTTATTCAAGAGGTGGAGTTTTGGTGGAGAGATGAATTGATTGAGAAGAAAGAGAAAAACGCAGGGTAGGCTAATCAAACCATGACCCACTTAAGCAGTTGACTGGTTTTTTGAGCTCTTAACGCCAATTCTACGCGGATTTGATCCGCTTCCGCTTAATCGGCCGATTAACTGGTTGCGTTATGCTTGTTTAAGTTAAGAACATTGAATTTTATACTCTTAACTATGAACATGTTTACGTATATTTAAAGGAAAAAAAAAGTGTATAATGCAGTCAAGAAATAGCTAGCGGAGGAAAGAAAAATGCATGCCAAGCTCCTTCCTTACCTTGCTTAAATATTGGGTTTTCGCCGTTGCGAAAACAACAGAAGTACAAAGAAAGAATGCTAGTAGAGACTAGGAAAACAGCTCCAGATGCAACGCCGACGTATATCCATTTTTTGCGAGAACCCCTGGAGACTGGAGGCTCCGGTGAAAGTGGAGGAGGCTGGAGGCTCTGTACTTGGACCTTAGTAGGCTCAGCGTCAATGGGTATCAAAAGCGTCGTAAATGGATAAATAACATCACCACTGGACAACCCGTTAGCATCCAGAACAGACTGGTAGCTGGAATTAAACTTTCGAGCAATGCTGCGGACACCATCCCCCCAGGTAACAAAATAAGTCAGCAGATACTTGACGCCAAACTCAGTTATCTGATCCGTAGTCGGGCAAGCGCACCTCAAGGGGACGTTGATCTTCATCCCATGAACCAACTCTAGAGGATTGTACGGGTTCTGAGCCATGATTGCTTGACAAGTGGACAGCCCTTGGTATGTACCGTTCGCGATGGAAAAATAAGTCTCACCGGTGGTTTGGATAGTGTAGGTAGCGTTGTGTTGGGAGTAGTTGCCAGTACAAGAGCAAGTTGTGGGGATGATCACTAACTCGTCGATAGGGATTAACGAAGAGTTTTCAGGGATGTTGTTCAGGATTGAGGATGGATTGACGTTGAGGAGGGAGGATATCTGAGACGGTGTTTGATATTTAGTTTGGGAACGGAAGGTGAGGTAGGTATCACAACCGCGCTGAGCTCCATCGCAGGCGTAGCCTTGCGTGGTGGAGCCATTGATCGTTGAGGCGCAGTTGTACTGTGGATTGTTTACTTCATAAGAAGGCTGGATTTGGGCGTGGGATGAGATTAGTAGTCGGAGGAGAAAGGAGATCAGGAAGAGGAAGAGAGGCTTCATGTCCCTGCAAACTCCTCCTCTTGTGCGTTTTATTTGCTTCTCAATTTTAATTTGCAAGTTATATTAAAGACACGAGCAACAAATATGATGAGGTGTTTGTTGGGGAGGTAAAGTTTGAAACGGGAAGTGATTGAAAAAATATCCCTGTAAAAATGTGCTTTCGGATCTCAAGTCAAGTCGTTGGTTCCAAGCCTTGAGCTGTCTCGATTGTAAATGCATGGACTTTTTTCTTAGATATCACCTTAAAAATGGAGGGGTTTTAAAGAAACCGCCTTCTATTTTCAATTTATATGTAAAATAATGATCGTCACTGTTGGACAACGGAGAAGAGTGGGGACCACCCACGTGCGAAACCAAAGTGGCCGAACACGGTTTCGTTTTCGTTGTTTGCGTGCGTGACGGCCCACCCGAAATGAAAAGTTGAGCTTTATAAATAAGCCGACGTTTTCCCCTAGGGTTTGGTAGCAAGGAGGCTTTTGTGCGGCTTTGTGCAAAGGAGCAGAGGCAGGGTACAAGAA